TTTATTTTAAAATTCACTCATAATATTATATATTTATATATTTAACCATATATATAGATATTTTTTTTAAACAATTTGACATGAGGTGAGATTGAACTTGTTCAAGGAGATGCACCTATTTAATTCAGTTAATCGACTAGACCTTAAGGGTTATGTGCATTTATTTAACCATATATTATAGTCAATTAACCTCAAATTTAAATTTACAAGCTAACTTCATATCATACTTATAACATTGCTGATTAATAAAAAAATAAAAAAAATAGCGCCTTTCTCCCCATCAAAAAATAAAAATGCGCTTTTCTATATAATAATCGTAACACATATTCACGTCCACGGATCTACACACTTTTTTATTCATTTAGCTCCTTCTAGACTTTTACCAGGAGTACTTACTAGAGCCAAACCTCTGGCTGTCCTCCACAATCCCATGGCGTCTCCTTCTTCTTCAGATGCAGGTCTTTTTTACTTCAACTCAGTTTCTTCCTGTTTACTACAATTTCAGTTTTCAATTCTGAGTTTTCTTGCAGTGTTTCTGATTCTGTAATACTCTTATTGATTATATACAGGCGAATCCGAATTGTGTCACCTCTTTTGCGCTGCTTCCCTTGGAGACTTCCCTCTCTTCAAGAGTACGTATTTTCACCATCTATATAACACTTCTTAAGCTAATGGATATCTATTCTTCGCGCTAGGGTTCTTATTTCTGTTTTCTGATGCTTGAGCAGAGCGGGTCACCGTGCTTCAGAAACTAGGGCTGAAAATTGAGAATATAAAAGACGAGGATGGTCAAAATGCTTTACATGTTGCGGCAGCGGCAGGTGCGACTCAGATCTGTAGGTATCTTGTTAAGGAAGTAAAGCTCGACATTGATTCCAAGGATGGGGATGGCAATACTCCTTTGCATGCTGCAATTTTAGGGGAGCATTTTGCAACTGCCATTTATCTTCTTGAGAATGGTGCAAATCCGAATGCTGCTAGTAACTTGCTGCGGACGTCTTTGCATTATGCTGCCGAAAAAGGTTTTGGATTTTTATTTTTTTAGATATATTTTAGTAATTGCACGTTTGATATATTTGGAATTTCCAATGTGGTTTCATTCTAGTGTAATCTATTTGGATGGGTGCTCTCCATCAGTTGTTACAGGACCTAAGAAACTTCTAAAGCTCTTAATAACAAAAGGGGCTGAAGTCAATGCAGTGGCGGATGTAGGGACGCCATTGGTACAAGCAGCATTCAGGGGCAACAAAGATTTTGTTAAGATTCTGCTGGACAACAAAGCTGAGGTAGTTTCCTTTCTTTCCTATGTACATGTTTTCCGTAGAGATTTCCCATTATGATACCAAACTTGCTTGGAAGAAATATTTGGTACTCAACTCAAGGCAAAGTAAAATTAGTTTTCAGTGTTCTCTTTATCCTGTTTTCCCCTTATTATTTGTTGAACTAATTGTTATTTTTCACTATTTCATAGGTAAATGTGATTTCATATCAATTGACGACCCCATTGTTGTCTTCTATCCTCACTTCATCAATTGAATGTGTTAAGCTGCTGCTTAAGGTATGGCATTTTCCTTATCAATAATTAATGCAACGTCATTTAATTTGTTACGTGAGATTTATTTTGAATGTCTATGTTTGAGGAGGATAAGTGTCTTTAAACTTTATAAATGACCTTAAGTAGATAAGGTTGCTAAGTTATGGATTTTAGTTTTCTGTACCTGTAATGTATATATTTTGGAGTAAGAAAAATTGAGTTTTTCGGGAAATCTAACTTAGCTGTATATTGAAGCTTGAAAGTAAGTGCTACTCAAAGTGGTATGATTTTTTTTTTTTTTTT